ATACGACGACATGGCTAAAGCCAGATCATTGTCACGCCTATCGGTCACGTGACTACAGTCGCGTTCCATTTCTCCCTTTGCACTCATGGGATTGTCTTCACCATTTTCATCAAACATAATTGAATTATCCAAAAAAACTTTCTCCTGATCATCGTCATTATAATTTGTGTCATCACCATCTACATATTGTGACGGTCAATTGGTGAGTCTGTTGCTAAATTGGGCAAAAACGTCATGTAACCATCAATAAGGTAAGGGGTTTTAGCAAAATTTTGAGGCGTGTACGATTTGATCGAGTAAAGGATAATTCAATCAATTAATATCTTTTATTTACTTTTTACTTTCCTCTTTTTATACATCTTAGTTGGGATGGTTTTTACATTCTGAAAAGTAAAGGTGACATCGATTATCTAATGTCTTCTCACGATTCTTCCTAATTACATAATGCTGGTCACAATTATTTAATATTACCTAATCGTTTTCACAATCCTCTCCTCATTACCTAACTCTCTAACACACTATTATACTACCATTTTAACCATTTCCCATCACTTTCACTTACATTTTCCCTCCATACCGCCTTGAGTACCATGATCAGAATGGATCCTTCACAGCACTATCGCGACGATCAGTCACGTGACCGGAACGCGTCACGATTTTTACACTCTGACAATATTCATCAAATGTGTAATTATTAGGGTTTCGCTTATCCGTGTCACTTAGGTGTTCGTAGTGGATGAGGAGTAACAACGTGTGGAAAGGGAATTTTTAATATGGATGTAATCCTAACCATCCACTTTTCTCCGTTTTTATTCTTCATTATTGTTCTAAAGATTAAAATTCATTATAATAAATTAATAATTTTAATTATTACCATTTTAATGATTTTATTATAAAAATTTTAACTTGTATTAGAAGTAAAATAATTTTTTTATTTTAAACATATACTAAATTTTATATAATTTTTTATATTAAAATTTTAAATACAAAGTTTAAAGTTATTTATTTTAAAAATTTTATTTGATAATCAGACCGATTGCTCTAACGAATATTCAAAGAATCAATAACATATTCTAACCAGTATGTCACATATTTTTTCTCACTATCTTCCATCCCACCAGGTCAGCGAGAAACCTTGAACATCAGACAACCGAGAAAGTTATTTGTGCCCCAGTGGGTCCAGTGCTAATTCAGCGAGAAACCTTGAACATCAGACAACCGAGAAAGTCATCTGTGCATCAACACTGGTTTTGTGGCTCAGCGAAAAACCTTGAATGACAAAAACCGAAAAAGCTCCTGTCACGCCACCATTTCCACTATATTTCTGACAAAAGATATTGACTTGCCTTTCTATATTTGTCTAGAAGCGGAATTGCTGTCTGCGATAATCTCGAGAGATTTGAGGTAACGATCTATTTTGATATAAAATTGCTTTATATCGCACTTATTATTCAGAAAAGGTTCGTTTAAAATATTTATGTATTTCGGACATGAATATTACGAGGTCTTAATGAAAGTAGGTAAAGACTAGAGTAGGATCATTAGAGTAGTTTTTGAAAAATATCGAGATGATTTGTATCAGGTGTATCACTTATTACATCATCATATGCACTTTAACGAGGATCAGAAACACGTTTATTTTTGTTCACCTAAAACCACGTGATGTTGTGACCCGAGGTCACAATCTATATGTGTAAACGAGTCACAAACACAAGTGCCACCCATTAGTTGTTCACCGTTTTCCTAATGCTATTCTTGAGATCACAATTGCGTAATATATTTATTTACTTCTGACACAGTGTCGATGTGAAATAAAAATTAACAATTACTTTTTTTTTTGTTTTCGGATACAAATTTGAATCGCGATATTCCTTAATATAGGTTGATAAAGAATCGCTAAAAATGCTATAATTTGCTAAAAACGCTATAAATCCTAGAGTCGGCTATAAAGAGAAAAAAAATGGTTAAAACTAGTTTAAATCCTGAAGTAGTGTAGGCATTAAAGAATATGCAATATAGTTATAGCGGTGAAACATCAGAAATGTGGTGTTCTCGTATTCGTTATTCATTTAAGAAACTTCTCGAATATAATCTAAAATATTTCTCCAAGAATAGTTTTATTCAAATGATTGAAGGAGCATATGTAGATGGGGAATTTAAAGCTGGGAGACGCTCATTGCACATTTATTGCACTGTATGCGACTTCTCGGTAATTATCCGTGAAAATACAATCGATTGTGCAAATGATCACTTGAATAAATGTATTACTAAAACCACCAATATACTTTCTAATCCTGTACGAAAGAATGTGAAGGAAGCAAAAGTATTGTCACTTAGCTATTATGTGATTGAAAGAATTTATGGAACATATGTTTTATATACAGTAAAGGCTCGGATTACTATTCTTATCCACATTCAATTGAAATTAAGAAAAGGATTGTGGTTCGCTTAATCAACAGCGTAACAGTTATCCAACGGGCTGGAAAACTTTCAAATTGAGACCTGAGACATGGGCAAAAACGAGTTTGGAATATTATGAGAAGTGATGGTACTCCTGACGAGAAGAAGTTTTTAGGTATAACACCTCGGGATCGATATGTATGGTATTGTAGTAATAGGGAGAAATGGAACGCGACTGTAGTCACGTGACCGATAGGCGTGACAATGATCTGGCTTTAGCCATGTCGTCGTAT